ACGTAAAGGATCAGGTGCTATCCTGTTCTGAGGCCTAAGAAGCAAAAAAATCTCTATGCTACGGAACAAGTCCATAAAAGAAACATTATGATACACCATATGCGTTGTTACCTCTGCGATCCCATAAGCTAGACATTCTGTGGTCGCCTACGGCTGGGTGCACGTACATGTTTGCTCAGCAGATGCCAGGCACCCTATCAGCCTGCCATGGCCTTGGCCCTCCATTCCAGTCTTTTGGGGCACAAACACAAGCAACTCAGAAGGATGCACGGCGCCGCCTGCCTAGCCTGACCCAGGATCAATGGCACGAAGGCAACACTGGCACACAGCAGTCCTAGAATGAACACGCACCTACCTGCGCTGCCCGCGGAAAGTGGCAGCAGGGAAAAGTCACGTCCCTTCTGTTGGACTCGGGCCTTCCCGTCCCCCTGCCCGCGGGGCTGCACCCTGACATCTTCTCCCGCCTCCCTCACCGCGCTCCTGCCCACCCCGCCACATACGGAACCGCAGGGCAGTCCCTTCTTCCCCAACGCGGCACGGGAGGGCCCAGACCCCGGACCCCTCCGCACCCCATCGGGCGACAGGAGGCGGCTGCACCGCGCGTCCCGCCGTCACCGGGCCGCCTCCCCGAGCGCGGCCTAGCGCGCCCCACGCCATGACTCAGCCCGTCCGCACCGCCGGGCTTTCCCGTTCCCCTCACCTGCGCCAGCCGCTCGCACTCGGGCAGCCGCTGGTCCACCGTCGCGCTGTAATCTACCTCCATTTTCACGATACGGCCGTCAGCCCGCTCCGCGCCGCCCTCCGCCATCTCCCCGGCTCCGCTCCGCGTCCCCCCGCGAACACACACCGGAAACAGCCAGGGCCAGAGCGCAGGCGCGGCTGGGGCAACCCCGCGGAAGGCCCCCGCGCTGCGCCACTCAGGCGCTGCCGGAGCCACCCCCGGCCGCCTCAGGACCTGGGGCGGGCCGCGGGCGAGGGGAGGTGCCGTCTCGGAAGGGACCGGCCCCTTCCGCCGCTTTCGGCCGCCCCGCCGCCGGGTCCGGGCCGGCCTGCCCCGGAGCCGTACCCTGCGCTGAGGGGACCTCCGGGAAGGGGCAGCTAGAGCTTCCCCGTGGAGCCCAGTCACAGCCCTCAGCTTGCCCTGCGGCCTCCTGCCTCAGCAGGGGCGGGGGTTTTCGGCACGGTTGCCACAGCCACGGTGTTGCTCCTGTCTTGTGTGTCAAGAGCTTGAGACCTTAATAGGGCCATAGGGTGGCGAGTCAGTAGGATCGTGGTTGTTTGCGTTTACCCCACATGATGAGAGAAGCGTGCGGAGCTGGCGCGGCAGGCCGCAGGCAGCACAGCCCAGCGGGGGACTCCACCTGCGGTAGCGGGTGGTCTCGCTGTGGTGACCTTGATGTTCTCACGTCCCAGCCAAAAGTCACTTAATCATGTGTTGCTGCACAGGTGGGGGAAAGGTAGGAGACACAATGTTTCTTAAGAGCACAAGGATCCTGATTTTAGAGTGTTGCACCATCAGCGTGTTTGATACGTGGTTGTGAGATGTTGGTGCAACACCTGTGGCTGTAGGTTGCCATCATCTCCCGTTCCATCACAGGATACCATACGCTGCAGAAGTTTCATTCACTGGAGAAATTCAGAGAAACTCAGTCACATGTGTGAACAAACAACTCAGAAGGAAATACTGATCAGTGAATGCCTTATATCTTTGGATGTTATTTAAGACTCCCTGAAAAAATGAAGTTACCATGAAATTACATTTTGCATTATGTTACTTTATGACTATACTGCATACACATTAATGTGGCAAAAGCATATTTGAGAAAACTGTTTTAAATCTTTTGTTGACAGAATTAAGACTGAGTTACTACATCTGCTACGCTGGTGTAAATTAAGAGAAATTCAATTAAGTGAATTCAGAGCTATAATGCTGTATTGTGGAATTGTGTCTGATACATGCTTTCCAATTAGCATAGCACAGACCATGGACTTTGAGTCACTTTCTGTTTGAATTCAAACTTGATTTTAAAAGTTCAGTAACAGAGTTTATCCATTATCCTTAATCATTTTTAGTTATTAATTGACCTAAGTACTGAAAATACATGCATGCATCATAGAGAGTGTATGAGAAGTTCTTTCCCAATTTTGACCATTTACAAAATTTTACAGAGCTTTGAATACTTATTTTGAATTGTAAAGTCTCATTCTTTTCGCTCATTGTAATATTAATATAATTTTACAGTTAGTGGATAGGGAGTAATGGCTTTCAGGGAAGTTAAAAGTCACACACTATTCTAATTGGACATATTCCCATAAACAGTAATTTTGGTTCAGACAATGAGTGAAAGAGGAAGAAAACTAACGTGTATTGCAACTGTTATCTTCCTTTACCTACATAGGTTTGCTGGGAGGTGAGAAAGCTGATTTTTGCCTCCAGTGTAGACTGGATGGCTCAAAACAACCCCTAAATTCTTATTCAAAGTCCTTAGTAAAATTCCTGGAGAAATATTGTGACTTTTACTATCTCTTATTATGAAGTGACATTTTGCTGACGTAAGTCCATCTGGAGTTAATGTTCAGCATGACTTAGTATATGGCTTTTTTCCCCCCAGGTCAAAAATGGAAGATGAGTGAAAAAATGACTTATTTTTACAACTGATCATAGAGACTGTGTTGCAGAGGTAAGAGTAATAGTTTCTGACAATTCACAGGAAACAACGAACCAAAATTGAGGCATGCTTGGCAGAAACAGCCTGGCTAGCTGGACATCTATGTTTTCTCTGTCAGCATGTTCCTGAGAAGCATTTGTTGAGCACGTTTTGTCATGAGTCCCAAGACAGAAGTCCTAGTAGGGAGTTGTAACGGGTTTTGTAATGATCACCATTTTTTCCCCATGTGCATGTACCAACAGCACAAGACTGAGCTGTGCCTCTGGCAATAAGTATGGGGTGACTGAAGAATGTTTTGCTGTAGGTATGGAACTAATTTTGGTTTCCATTCTAAGTAGCTTCTGGATTTGACACACTATTTACTTTCCACAGATCTGCATGCTTTGTTATTTTAAACAGAGCTATAAGGTTTGGTTATGTTGAAAGTAACATAGCGATAAACTAGTTTAGGCCTTTCTCCTGTTTTTATTGAAATCAATGTCTTTGCCTAAAACTGGGTAGCATCAAGGGCCTATACAAAGAAGTTCAATTTTTTTTTACACTGGTTTTCAGTAGAAGTGCAGAGATACTGTTCCTAAGGAATGAAACAACTAGCAAAACACTTAAAGCTGAAGATGTTTTAGATCTGAGTTTGGATTGCCTCTCATCTATAGGTAATATCACAGGTATTGCCTTGTTTTGGCTATTTTGCATAGAAGTTTCAGGAACATATACTTCCAACACTATGAATTATAGCTACAGTTCAGATATTTATAAATGGCTCTTGACAGATTTGAGATAGAAATCTCATTAACCACATTGTTCATACCTCAGTTGAAAACCTAGATTATTAACAGAGCTCCCAGATTTTCTCATTTTTATGTAGGTGTTTGCACTTCACTGGAAAGGGAGGGTGCATGAAATATTGTGCTGTTATTGCAATGGAACAGAAAAGTTATGTTGTTAGCTCCAGGAGATGGCACTGTGTCCTCTTTGGGCTAAAAATTATATACATAGCTTTGAAATGTATATTCAAAGCCAATGAAAACGTGAGGGGTTTTTGCTCTTTCTTGTTATGAAACACACATTTCATTGTAGGGCAAAATTCATCTTTAACTGTCACAAATAGAGCATTTCATCACTTTTATCTTTGCAAATAATTTATATTTAAATGCAGATTTATATTTAACATTATCTGTACAGTACCTTGTATTTTCATATTGCTGTCACAGTGCTTCTCTGCAACACACGCTTTATAGCCGTTTGGAGGACAGGAGAAACAGCAATGTGAATATTTTATGGTTTACCTGAGGTTGTGTAACAGTTGGGGTTTCTCAGCCAGTTTCAGAGTTGGATTCCTGTGCATATGAAGTTGTAACTCAGTAATGGGTAAATTGCTCTGAAAAACACAAATTCCATATTAAAAACCGATTTAGCTAACAAATTGTCTGAGGGGCGGGGAAAAAAAAAAAGACAGAAAAAGGGCCTTCTAAACCGGTTCTGGCTTCGTTGTTTAAGTAGGAAAGAGGTGCTTTTTCACTGAACTTTCTGCGTGGCATTTGAAAGTAGCTGATGCGAAAGAGAGGAGTTTTATTTGTGTTGCAAAACGCGCCGGCTGGTAACGGCGGGCTGACCAGAAGGGAAATGGGTGAGGCCTTCACATCCTGTGCTCCATCTCCCGCCGCACAACTCCCGCACCCGGCGGTCCCGGCTCCTCCACCGAGAGGGGGGCGAGGCACCCGCGGCCGCGCTCCCGCGCTCTCCCCTCGTACACCCGCTCCCGAACGTTGTGCAAGGTGCCGCGCCTCGGGCCACAAACTTCCCAAAATCTGCTTAAACCCGCCCGAGC